CAATAGATTTCCTGCTCAGTTTGGAAGGTGATCATTTGAGTTACATATTCAACAAAAACATATGACTGCTTGGTAATAAAAAAATACATATATTAGGAAATAACACTCATACTTGTAGAACACATATTTGTTTACATAACAAGTGTGCATTCATTATCTTGTGGTCTTAATTATAGGAACCAAATGTACTAGTGATTTCTATTATCCTCTTCTTTTGCAGTTGAAGAGACAGATTCAGAGTGGTTAAGTAACTTGCTCAAGGTCACCCGTTACTTATATAGTGGGTAACATTCAAATTCAGTCTGTATTACTTCACAATATTTCTTTTGAGGGAAAATTTTTTTAACACACCTATGTAAGAAGAAACATTCTCCAACCTAAATTGTATTACTTTTTATTAGCTGTACAACATAAAACAATAGACAACTATAGATGGTCAGCCAAGAAAGAAGAGTATCAGAATGAACTTTGTTTAGACTGTGTTTCACAGTTAACCTATGCCCCTGTATTGGATACCAATAAAGAACCATAAGGTTTGTTGGCCTCTGTGCATGTTCTGCAAGCGGGAAAAAAGACATCAAACTTAGAAGGGCATGCAAGCATCAGGGAAGCCCATTTGGAAGGTGATCCTAAGTGAGATTTTGGAAACTCCTGCAGATTTAGAGGACTGAGGCATTATATTCTGAATTCAAGTATAGATCTGCCGCTCAGCAGACGTTGTTTCTTCTTGGAGAATTACAAGACCGTAAGTCTCCATCACCCATGACACTCTGTCCACACTGTCACAGGAAAACTCAAATCCAGAATTGATTTTACGGCTTCAGAGAATTGGTGTATGAATTTTAAAGATGCAGCAGTGCAGACGGCAGTTTCACTTAGCTGAAACCACTTGTCCTATGCTGAATCCCAACACAGCTCAGCAAAAGTTGTTTGCCCTAACTATACCCGAGTCTGGATAAAGGACATCACGAAAGTCGATGTACTTAAGCGAGAGGCTAGTCTCCATAAAATGCTGGGACTGGGAGATATAGAAACTATTTTTTAAAACAGCACTGAGATACCAAAAACACCACTATTTTAAAGTGTATAATTCAGTATTTTTTAAATAACTCAATAAGGTTATGAAATCACCATTATCTAACTCCAGAACATTTTCATCTCTCCAAAAGAAACTCCATACTCACTAGTCACTCACTGTTCCCCTGCTTTTTCTTTTTCTCCCAACCCTTGAAATCTAATTAAGGTCTCTACAGATATGCCTAATTCTTGGCATTTCATGTAAATTGAATCCTAGTATACGTGGTCTTATGTGACTGGTTTCTTTCCTGTTTCAAGGTTTATCCATGTTATAGCATGTATCAGTACTTCATTCCTTTTAATTGCTGAATAATGTTCCATTGTAGGAATTTGCCACATTGTGTTTATCCATTCATCATTAGGATTGTTTCCATGTTTTGGCTATTTACATAACGCTGCTATGAACATTCACATGAAAGTTCCCATGTGAACATCTGTTTCCATTTCCTTTGGGTATATACCCAGGAGAGGAATTGCTGGATTATATGATAACTGTTTAATTTTTTTGAGAAACCGCCAAACTTTCCCAAAATAGCTACACCATTGTTCATTCCTACCAGCAATACATGAATATGTTAATTTATGTATAGCCTTGCCAAAACTTGGTGTTTTCAGTTTATTATTATAGCCTTTGTTGGGGATGTAAAGAGGTTTCTCATTGTGGTTTTGGATTTGTATTTATCTGATGATTAATCATATTGGACACATTTTCATGTGCCTATTGGCCATTCATGTACAATTCTGGGAGATTTGTTTATTCAAATTCTTTGCCCATTTTAATTGAGTTATTTGTGATTTCTGAATTGTAAGTGTTCTTTATACATTCTGGATACAATTCCTTTATTAGATATCTGATTTACAAATGTTTTATCCCAACCCATGGGTTATCTCTTCACTTTCTTGATGGTGTCATTTGCTTAGTTTTCATGAAGTCCATTTAATTTCCCCTATGTAATTTTACCGCCATTTATTCTCTTTCAAAGTGCTATGTTTTCATCATTTCTGAATTTCCTTTTGTGCTCTTATATACTAAACTCTGATATCCTCTAGAGTTTCACCCTTGATCCTTTTCTTTTAAAATTCTGTACTTTTCCTCCCAAGGTAAGCTTAGCATTTTTATGACTTTTACCATTTCTAATGTGGTTATGAGTCTAAAAAATACATCTCCAGCATAGACTTCTTCACTGAGTCCTCACCTCAGCTTCCTCTGGGTACATCAAAGTCAATCACACTAAACTTCTGTTCCTCCTCCCTGATCAGCTTTCTGTATATTCCCTCCTACCTCCCATCAACTCAGTCACCGAAGTTACAACCCTGGGAGTCATCCAATTCTTTTAACTCCATTCTCCCATATAGAGTCAATCACCAAGTCCTGTAGATTTCACTTCCTACGTATTCCTCTATACAAATTACCCCACCCCAATATTGAACCTAAATTAAACAGAGTCACCAGAGCTCTATTTAGGGCTTATCATCTTGATTCTGAAGTATATTCCTTGCTCTCAGGTATATTTTCCTCAAATCCATTCCCCCAATATGACCTTCCTTAGCTGCAAATTTCTATAGTGCCTTAAAACTCCTAGGAAACTATGCTCAGTAATATTTCAATACATGTCTTTTTTCTGTGCCTTAACTTCCATATTGTACTCCAAACAGAGTAACACGTTTTCCCTGACTTGACATTATAATGTTTCATGTTACTCCCTTTTCCTGAAGTGTTCCCTCATTCACTCACCTGTAACTTACTTTACTCATTTAAGACTCATCAAGGCCATCGCTTCTTTCTAGAATACTTTTCCCAACCCATCAGCTGCCACAAACTTGGTGCAGTATTCCTTCATCAGTCTAGGACATATGCTAAATTGCCTTGATGCTGCACTTACAATATTATTTTGTCATTATACTTTATGTTCCTCACTACACTACAAATACATGAAGAATCAGAGAGATATTTCTCACTTTACTCAGTACTAAGGAAGGTGGAAGATACTATAAAAATTATATTTTTATGTATGTATATTCTAAGTCAGTCACTAATTTTTTTTTCAGACATCTCTAGGCCTGAGGGTTAAAGACCCAAAAACAAA